TTTGTCTGTCCGTTCGTATGGTGTCTGTGAACACTACTTGCGCACTAAGCCATGAGTACGATTTTTCTTAATTTAGAGAAACCCCCGTCCATTTGGCTCGAATCGAATCTTTGAGATTTTGGAAAAATTCTTTAAAAATGTGTTAGTATTTTACATAAAGCCCTCTCGTTATTTCAAATTGTTTTCTCTCTAAATTTCTTGTAAGAATAGAGCAACTTACACTTATGAATGTGGCATGGGTCCGATTTTCATGGTTAACTCTGCATTTTCGAAAATTTCAAAAGTATGAATTTTTTTCGGTGTCTTCCTACAACTACAAAAGGCGCAGTGAACTACAGCCCTTCATGAGGCGATTTCGCTAATGCGTTACGGCAGATACCATCAAATCGACTAGATATTAACCTCCTGGGATAGGTTGTCGTTCGCCTTGACGTCAGGACCGAAAAGCGCAATGAGTAAGAACTATGTGAAAAAATGGAAATAAAAAGTGCAGTTAACCTTTGGTTGCCAGAAATTCCTAGAATACTTTGAATCCCTCCGGGACATTCAGTAAGTGAAAGTAACTCGTGTGCGACTGATTCATCTTATTTTAAATATCATGACTTCCCCACTTCATAATCTTTTAATGCTCAGCCATTTTAACTATCGCTAGCAATGACCTGAAAGCTTGAGGTCGCGGATTCAAATGCATAGAAAGTGCGAGTCGTTTACAGGCTTACCACACTAAAATTAATGCAAAAATTCCGATATCTATATTTCAAGATGCTGAGTGAGGAAAATTAATTTTGAGCTACCGATACTATAAAGTGTCGGCCTGTCGTGTATCCGGCATATTTAAGCATTACACTTTTTATCTTAAAATTATGTGATGTTATCTGTCGTAGTATATAGCCATGAGAAGGGAACTTGTAGTTTCGGCAAGAATTTAAGGATATTTCCGAGACCCAACAACGGTACGTTCCTTTAAACAATACAAAGAATATACAGAGGACCGTACTTGAAATCAAAATTGTTAAGGTCCAGTAATTCTTAAGTGACATTCTCTCTTGTTCCTCTTCCATCAAATATGACAGTGGTGGACATTGTGACGTTAGTGTAGCGAAAATGAGGAATTTAAAAGATGATAATTTCTTTTAATTTTCTTCGAAAACAGATAGAATCTACCAGTATTAGGAAAGAGAAAATATTGATTTAAAATCCATAAAAAACATGTTTACGTATATTAGGATGTTTTGTCATCGCTGACTAGAGTTGACGATCATTGCCAGAGAAGCAGATCTCTTCACATTATTAAAAGGGGTTCACAATATGAAGATCTTTACTTATTTACCACTACCCAATAAAACAGATTAACAAACTTTGAGAAAATACTGAATAATAAATAAACATAAAGCATGTAATTAAATTCTTTTGTCTGAATTATATTCTATATTCACACATTTTTTCGATTACCCCTTGCCATAAATATATTCACTAGAATCAATTCTACCTTTAACGAAATTTACTTTTTAAACATTCTCGTATACGTAGTATGTAAGACATTGTATGTAAAGAAAGAGTGAGTATAGCACAAGGGAGAGGAAGGAAAGATAGCATGCGCGGTCCGTGACCCGTTTGTTAGGGTATTGCTCCGACATTCGCCTGATGCTGATCGGAGAAACTACGGAAAACTAGCGAACACAACAGCCGGCGGCTAGAATTCTCCTCCAGACCGTGACAGAATTCAACCTACCTGACAAGCTAGTGTCGAAAATACTACCATCGTCGGGGATAGAACTTTGGCTCTCCTAGTGCACTGACATCAGATAATGTGCTCGAAATTCAACATTTCTAGAAACTGTCTAGCATAGTTTTCTTGGAAACGGCTTCAATTTTTTACTTAAAATTTGTTGTAGTGATAATATCCACACAGAAAAATTAAGGAAACTAACTAGTGCCACATTATTTTTGTGCCATTCTCTAGCACCAGTAGTTACATTTGTATAGGGAAATATTTACTGTATACCTCCTGTTAATAATCGATATTTGGAAATATAGTACAAGTCAAATGAATTCTCACTTCAACATCGTTTATTACTCACAAAAAATATTAGTGTCTTATTTCCCAATCGTAAAATTAGCAATGAACCCCAATTTTACCAACCGTCTGATACATTTCAGTGTGATAATGCTCTCAAACAAACTAATTGCAATTCCTTCCTGAAACAGCTACGGAACATAAGCTTCATAAGCCGACGAAGCTTTAAAGACGCATTTGTTCTCAATTTGAACCGATTTCCTTGTCTCGTGAAAGCGCCCCCTGCGCCGACCATTTCGCGCACTGTGGAGCGCGGAGCAGGCGCGCATTTCCGCTTATAATTACACGCCACGGGCAGACAGATAATGAGATTTATGACGCTCTCCCCCCGCAAATCGGAGGCGGAGGGAGAGGGACGGGCACAACCGGCTGCCTCGTCATCGCCCCCCCCCCCTCGTATTGCAATCATACCCTCATGGCTTGCCACGATCGCAACTCTCACTGCGATTGCAGCCTAAACCAATAAAAGAAAAAAATAGTTACACTTCCCGCAATTTATTTTTTCGTCTACCAAACATACCTGAATAATTCTTCTACATACTCGGTGAAGACAACTCTACTTTCTGAGAAATAATCATACGCAATTCATCGATTCCTAAATTGCTTCTCTACCTTCAATTCATATCATACTCTGGCTCGGCTCAATAAGTTTCCCCACTCTTCCTTTTAAACTTAAAATAAGCCATCAATCATCTGTAGAGCCGAAAAGCTGATCCATGTATATTCTTACAATAAAAAAATTATATACATAGAAAATTGACCCCCCCCCTCCTTCCCGGTATAAAGGCCTGTCCGTTTTCACTCCCTCCACCCCAGTTTTCTACTTGTGCCTTCTCCCGCTCTCCTTCAGGGCCTTATAACTCCCATATAACGTGGTGGAGACCATTATGGTGGCGCGCTCTGCTGCATCGCCTTCTTTACACGAACTAAAACACGAACTGCTACCAACGATACTTTAAACGTACGCGGCTACTGTGCGAGTTCGCGGGTCGCAAGCAGGCCCATAATGTTACAAAAGATAACGTCTATATTCGCGCATTATTCAGAGGTTTCTTATAAGTATAGATTATGAATAATAGTACATTTATAAGACACTTTTCGTATTTCTCAAAAATTAGCCAATTTGTAAGTGGGAAAGTTGGCGAGCCTAACCTGCAGCTGCACCTGGCGACACTAGCGCTTCCTATAGTAGCAACCTCGAGCTTTGTCCCCAGTTTTGATAGAGAGTTGCCGGGCCCTGCTCTCCTTTCAGACTCATTCTCTCTCCCATTCATGTCTATCTCCCCACTTCCTATCTATCCACCTCCCTGACCCTCTCCTTTTCCCCTACTTCCTCGAGTAATCTTTTTCTCCCTCAGTGGACATCATCTGATCGCCCCATCGAGAAGGTAGCGTCTACCGTGTCCAATGATACTAGACACATTACTCGAAGTATGATCGACGTTGTGTGCAAGGCAAACTGAATCATTGAATTTTGTTTGTATCGAATTTGGTTTGAATCATTGAATTTTAATATTTAAAATGACATTACAATTCACTGAAACTTGTATTACGATAGTCGCCTACGCTAATGCCTAAACCACTAAAACAAATATCAGAGGAACTAAATCGAATTCCTTCATGGCACATGGCATCCAGTGGTAATACTCTCTAAGAGCCAAAACTTTCACCTGGATGCCTCTTCAAGATCTCCCTAAAATCGTTTTAGGGTCCCCTAGAGAAATGCAGACCCTTTTTGAGAAAAGAAATTGTGTTCTAGTATTCATTATAATGAATTCTTAATATGAGAATTTCATTTCGTTCCGTTATATTTGGCGCATTACCACTAGCCGGGAATATTAAATTGCATTAGTATATACCTTTCACAACATAATACTCAAATTACTTATGCAACGGATTACGTTTGGAATTATGACGGATTATTCTTTTATTAAAATAAAAGACCTTTTAGGAATATTACGGAAAGAATTTGCAAGACATATCACTAAATCAGTAAAGAACTATTCTACATTATTGACAATAAAGGTGGAATGATATGCTATTAACACATATGGTTTGGTAAATGGTTAATGTTATATATTTATTATTATGTTCCTCTTGTGATTGGCAATCAAAATTCCTTTTCTCCCAATTTCTTTATTGCATTTCTTATTTACATTTACGAACGAGGTTATCTCCATCCGTCATGTTACCAATACAATGTTTAATACGTTAGTATAAATAATGGATTTTTAACCGTGGTATATGGTGGTCTACATAAACAATTAATAATTTTACCTAACCACTATTTCTTTCAGTTTGATATCATTATGTTAACCGATATCTGCCTACCGAACAGTATTTTATTCCAAAACCGACTTACAAGCACATTTATGGTCGCATGAAACAATAGTAAAATTATTATTGTAATATATTTCTAAAATGTATGAACAACAATTCTGTTTGTGTTATTGTTCTCTTCCTTATCGAGAACGAATCGCCGAACGACAGACGAAGAAAAGAAAAGAAGCGAAAAGAGTCCGTTATTTCAATATTCGTGGTTGAGTTTTATGTGACCACGGTTACGAGTAATATTCTAAGAAGATTGTGATATATAATTATTCACTTACACCGCTGTGTGTCTGACATGACGTGTCAAGGACACAGAGGTAGCAAAATAATTTTTCTGCAGCTATTGCAGAAGTAATATCGCAACATGTACCACCTCGATAACTTCCTTATAAATGTTTCTTAATTAATTATGTGAAGATTATTTCTTTCTTTTAGGCTCTTCTCGAAACGAACGTGACGAAATCGTTCATAAGAACCCGTACTGAAAAACAATGAGAGACTGCCATTCCACTAGCCGGTCCGTATTGTCGTTCGCCATGGTCTCGCAGAAGTGAGTCGACTCTTTCGCGTTCGTCATGACAAAAGAGAAGAGCCGAATACTTGACATCAGAACAAGAGTGTGGTGCTCTGCATACTGCAGGGTGTTGCTGAGTGGCTCTGAACACTCATTCTCACAATCACTAACGCAAACAAAATCACATATATTAACATTCAACTTACAAGACATCATCGACGCAAGCTACAACCATTTTCGTAATGGCTGACCAGGAAAATCAGATTGAAAACCAAAATGAACAAAGTGAGAATGACGGGCCAGTCGTCGATTTCGACTTCGCGGGTGAGCCAGATGCAGGCGGTGATATGCCGATTGTAAATGGCCCCGATATAGAAACTAACCATAATCCAGGCCCTTCCGGGGATAATTGTGAACTGGATGAGGACGAGGAAGACGAAGATTAAGAGGTAGGACGTGTGTGTTACATAACCTCATTCTTTGGCTACTGCTTGCTACAATTACTAGTTGCACATATGTACAACATGTAGGGCTACATAGTAGAGGCCCATCAAATTGTCAGCATCACCTGCTTTGGCTTGTCAACCTTATTTTACGATTGTAGTGTTCTTTATTTTAAGTTAATAATAGTGTATCACATTTTACTTATATGACAATATTTCAGTCACTTATTTCACCTTTCTCAGAACTCCGAAGAAGATCAAATGAATAACTGAAAACTACTAATAAAATTACTTACCCTATGATCTATCTTCATAAGATTACATATTGTAGCAACATGGAATTTCACAAAAACTATATCGAATACAATCATGCTTCTCATGCATGAAATAGTGTTTGAATTTCATTAGTATATTCAAGAACAACTTATATATTCATCTAAAGCAAAGAAATTTCCTCATTTAATCTTATTCAGCTATCTTGTATTAATAAACAATAAAACAGGATCAATAACTTTAAAATTATTTCTGCATACTCTACCTATTATCACTTCACAATAAATCATTTAACATTTATAATTATCGAACAAAATCTTCTTATCTATTATTTAAAGAGAATATCATTACTTATCTTCAAAATAACTTTATTCTGCAATAATATGTTAAATGTAAATTTATATAAAATAAAATGAATAATTTTTGCAGCAAAATTTCCCATTCCATAAATATGCTGTTTTATTGTGTATTAGAAAGAGGTGCTAAAAATATATATTTAATTAACTGCGTTAAACAATATTTTTGTTTAATTTTTCAACACATACTTCTAGTTTTAATATATTAGCTCTGTATTTTGCTATAGATGACATTATACTAACCAATGCATCACATTGTGAGATACTCTACCACATAAATATGTCTTAGTGTAGCATTTTATTAATAATGGGAAAATGATATTTATCACTTATGCATTTCAAAAAAGACTGTAATATATTTATAACCAAAATTACATATCATTTCATACATAAAATATTGTTAAGAATGTGTAAAATGCATCTTCAAATATGTCCTGAGTGGTGAAATAATTGCTGTGTTTAATCTTCTACAAGAAGTGAATATACTGAAAAGCTAGTTTGAAAGTATAAACTTTTTGAGCATTAGCTGAGGATTTGATTGAAACTATTCTCCTTATATTCGGTATTTTTCCTTTTTGGTATTTAATTAATCCTATCAAAATAAATAATGCTGTGAATCAATAAAATAATTAGAATTTTTTTCAGTTATTACTTTGTGCATTTCTGCAGGTTTAAGAATAAGTTTGGCAACTAATTTGATTTTGATAAAAAATAACTTTTAATTTCAAGATTTTTTAAATTTTGTTTTATTTCCAAATATTTATTGAGGAAAATTTTATGATTGATAATTGTTTACTTCTCTTGGTAAATGTTTTAGCAATACTTACTGAAAAATGACGTTTCTTATTGCCTAACAATCGTAATATTGCCAATGCAAGGTTTTGCAATAGTACACATCAAAAATAATCAGACCTCAGGCATAGAAAAGTATTGCCAGCTAATAACTAACTTTTCAGTTTTATCAAAACAATATCAATATGCATCAATATCATCTACTTCAATTAGTACTCATCGCTCTTTGAACAATATTAATATTCTGAGATTCAGGAACGTGATTTACTTTAAAACAAGTGCCAGAAGTGCAACACCTTTTCTTGACATTCTGCAGGAAGACACTAGTAAGGTTCCAACAGCACATGCTGTCTCACATTGTAACTGTTCCGCAATATTTTACTACTATATGAACCTGCCCAAGTGTTTTCAACCAGTAAACATTCTCCCAGTGGACACAAGAAGGGAAGTCTTCAAAGTTAACTATTCGTTCGTTCACCTTACCATCTCGGGTCGACTATTAAAAACCTAATTGTCTCATTTCAATATATTCAATATAATTTTTGAAAATTCGGAAAGATGAACAAAAATAATTTCTTCACCATTCTATTAAGCGTCCGTTGTTTTATACATAAAATAAAGAAAGAAAACTAGTGGTGCTACAATAATACATAATTTCTCGTATTTTTTTGGAAAATTTTGAAAATATTTGGGGGTCTTCATGTAAAGTACCACCAAAAATTAAAACTTGTTTCAAATTCCAGAGGCCATGGCATCAGCCAGACTGTTTGGGAATACCAATGTTGGAGAAAATAGGCTGAACGGCTTATGCGCTAGCGTTGTGCACGACAGACGACAGCCGAACAGAGAGAGAGAGAGAGAGACGTTTTGCCGTCAATAGATTTGTCGGTGTGAAGGACACTCAAAACGGAGTTCTGGCTGCACCACGTGTTAGAGAAATTTATTTTCTATATTTAGCAGCTGGATTTATTCACTTTTTCGTTACTAGGCCCGGACAATAAGTTTTTGTGTCGAAAATACGCCTTTTTCCGGCGCACAATTTCAGTAGTTTCTCTCCTGACGTTACGAGTAGTAAGTGCAATAAAGTGAAATTTCAGGCAGTTTTTGAGAAAATGTCTTTCTTATAATTTGCATTAATTTCAACCAGAAATTACATGAAAACTTCTTGTTTTTCAAACGATTGTATATGAGCAGTTGTACGAGTTGATTTTTGAAAACAGATGTTTACGGTAAAAATCTCTATATTAAATTTTGAAGATTTGAAATGATAACTTTTTGTAATGATTGAATGTTTACCGCAAATGAGACTAGCACCACTTTAACTTTACCATCTTTTGCTACATAAGAGGAGAATTTAAAGAAAAAAGTTGAGCCGTTTTCTAAAAAAATGGTTAATTTTTAAAAAAACTTACATTTCACCAAAATTATGCGAAAATTACTCATTTTCGAAAAATTCTACCTGGCCTTACAAGATAGTCAGTCTTTTAAGAACATTCATTATTTCATTGGCGATGGTGAACAGCGATGTAATTGTTCATCATCACACTCCTTCGATATTGATTCAGCTCGAGGCTGCAGGCCGTTGTATACGTCGTTGTTTCTTCCAGTCATTCCACCAGAAATGCTTTTAAGCAATCAAACGTCAGCCCACATCGTCTGTCTACCATTGCCCCTTCTACCAGTTCGGATACGCAATTTTTATCCGATCGTGCAAATGCCGTTTCTCGCCATTGTCAGCAGTTTGTTGTTGCTATTAACACGATGACAATTCGGACCCTGGCGGGAGGAACAACCGCACGCGGAAGCCGGGTAGGGGGAGGGAGAGGGGGCGAGCAGGACACTGGGCCGTGGCGAGAGCAGGGATGGGCGAAGGCGGGAGCGGGAGCGGGGCCGAGTGCGGTCCGCGGGTGCCGCCTGATAGCGATGTTGTATTGACCAATTTGCGCGTTGCATATCCGACAGAGAGGGCTGGGGTGCGGCGGATGCAAAGTGGGCGGGGTGCCGCGGCCTGTCTCCTCACCCCCCACGCTCCTTCCCCTCCCCGGCGTCGCATGTGACAAAGTAAGCGTCCAGCCGGGCTGGCTGCTGGATTACACGATAGCAGTAGGCGG